TGGAACTCAAGTGAATTTCTTTACTTACTGGAGTACTTGTTACATTACTGTTGATACTAATTAAAAGATGTATACTATTTAGTCTGGAATTTGGACATTCATTTAGTGAGCTCTGATAGACAAAGCTCTTGCTCAATTTCAGGTCAGTTTCTGACTAATGTTTCTTGACATTCAAATGAGTGTAAAAGTAAATAAAGTATGGCTAGTTCCATTGTCAAAATCTGTTTTTGGTATCATGCAACAATTTTCATCTGCAAATGAATTTAATCTGATGAGTACTTTTGATGGAAAATATTTGTTAATTACATCTAGCCACTTAACCAGATCTGTTACTTGTTGATGATGTAACAATAGTTAAATGGGAATCTGCTATTATGCATACTGTGGAATTCAGTGATACTTCATCAGATCTCCATTTTGCAGACCAAATTTATGGGTATGTGCATCTAAAGAGGTCTCAGACAAATTTGTCAAAAATGCAGTTATCACATGATTTTTCAGTTCACACTTATGTTAATGCGCTGCATTCATGATAGGGGACACATAGAGCGGAAAAGTATTTTGCCTTTTCATCAAGTCAACAGTGCATGTGATCAGCAAATGTGGTGATAACTGAGACATATGATAACTTCCCATCTTTTTACAGATTAGAAAGTATAAAGTGTTCAGGCTCTAAGATAGTAGTTAAAGACATTTATGCCCCCATATATATTTATGTATTATCTCCCCCCCCCACCCCTCTCTCTCTCTCCTCTCTCTCTCTCTCTCTCTCTCTCTTCTACTCTCTCTCTCTCTCTCTCTCTCTCTCTCTCTCTCTCTCTCTCTCTCTCTCTCTCTCTTCTCTCCCTCCCTCCCTCCCTCCCTCCCTCCCTCCCTCCCTCCCTCCCTCCCTCCCTCTCTCTCTCTCCCTCTCTCTTTCCCTTTCTCTTCTCTCCCTCTCTCTCTCTCCTCTCTCTCTCTCTCCTCTTCTCTCTCTCCCTCCTCTCTCTCTCTCTCTCTCTCTCTCTCTCTCTCTCTCTCTCTCTCTCTCTCTCTCTCTCTCTCTCTCTCTCTCTCTCTCTCTCTCTCTCTCTCTCTCTCTCTCTCTCTCCTCTCTCTCTCTCTCTCTCTCTCCTCTCTCTCTCCTCTCCTCTCCCTCCCTCTCTCTCTCTCTCTCTTCTCGTCTCCCTCTCCTCTCCTCTCTCTCCCTCTCTCCCTCCCTCCCATTCTCTCTCCCTCTCTCTCCCTCCATATTCTCTATCACCCATTCTCTCTCCCTCCCTCCCACCCATTCTCTCTCTCTCTCTCTTCCCATTTTCTCTCTTTCTCTCTCCCATTCTCTCTCTCTGTCTCCCATTCTCTCTCTCTGTCTCCCATTCTCTCTCTCCTCTCTTCTCTCTCTCTCCCATTCTCTCTCTCTTCTCTCTTCTCTCTCTCTCTCTCTCTCTCTCTCTCTCTCTCTCTCTCTCTCTCTCTCTCTCTCTCTCTCTCTCTCTCTCTCTCTCTCTCTCTCTCTCTCTCTCTCTCTCATTCTCTCTCTCTCTCCCCCATTCTCTCTCTCTCTCCCCCATTCTCTCTCTCTCTCTCCCCCATTCTCGGTCTCTCTCTCTCTCATTCTCGGTCTCTCTCTCTCTCATTCTCGGTCTCTCTCTCTCTCATTCTCGGTCTCTCTCTCTCTCTTCTCTGTTCTCTTTTCTCATTCTCTGTCTCTGATTCTCATTCTCTGTCTCTCTCATTTCTGTCTCTCTCATTCTCTGTCTCTCTCATTCTGTCTCTCTCATTCTCTGTCTCTCTCATTCTCTGTCTCTCTCATTCTCTGTCTCTCTCATTCTCTGTCTCTCTCATTCTCTGTCTCTCTCATTCTCTGTCTTTCGCATTCTCTGTCTTTCGCATTCTCTCTCTCTCTCTCTCTCTCTCTCTCTCTCTCTCTCTCTCTCTCTCTCTCTCTCTCTCTCTCTCTCTCTCTCTCTCTCTCTCTCTCTCTCTCTCTCTCTCTCTCTCTCTCTCTCTCTCTCTCTCTTGTTCTCTCTCTCTCTCTCTCTCTCTCTCTTGCTCTCTCGTGCTCTCTCGTGCTCTCTTTCTTGCTCTCTCGTGCTCTCTCTCTTGTTCTCTCTTGCTCTCTCTCCCTCTCACCCTCTCACCCTCTTACTCTCCCCCTCTCACCCTCTTACTCTCTCCCTCTCCCCCTCTCCCTCTCCCTAACCATTCCTCAGAATAGAGGGATGAGCTAACAGAAGACAGCAGGAGAGAAAATAGAGTTTTCCAAAACTTTCATATGTGTATGTTGGTTATTGATTTCTGGATAAATACCTTACAAACATGTGTATGGTATTTTGATTTTAAGTTTTCAGATTAGGAAATAGTCACTACATCTTTATGTTCTGACATTGATTGTTCTGACAATTAGCAAGCCTAGGTGTCTTTGGCTGATTCCCCTTTTCTTAAGATTTTGTAAGGAATATATATATATTTTTAATGTTTATGACATCAATGTTGTTATTATTTTTTTACATACTGATTG